CGGGAAAGGGGCGGGGCTAGGCGAAGCAGGCGGGGGGGCGGGGGGCGGGGCAGGAGGCGGGCAGAAAGACGTGCCGCGGGCAGAGGAAAGAGGCGATTGGTCGTCCGAGTGCGTCACGTGTTCCCTCGGGGGTTTCCATGGAAACGCTTCTCTGCGGTCCTGTTTGGGGGTTCTTAGGTTGGCGGCGATGGGCACTGGGGGCGGGTGGCGTTGGCTTTTGCTGCCGCCACCTCCTCCAACGACCTATCACTGGGGTGCTGCGTAAGGCCCGGCTGGCAGGGACTTGTCTGTGAGGTGGAATGGACTGGTTGCCGGACCAAGTGCCCGGCAGTTGGCAGGAGTATGAGGCGGAGTGATGCGCGCCCAGCCGCCCAGCATCGTTCTAGTTGTCAGAGAAATCGCTTCGGACCGTGTGCTGCCCTTGGCTTCGTTCCTGAGCCGGGAACCCCTTTCCAGGGGTTGGAACTGCGCTGCGCGGCCAGCGGGAGGTCCCCAAGGACGGAGTCGAAAGGTCACATCTTATCTGTCAGTGGTATGTGACAGCATCGCGACTGCACCTGCAGAACCTGAACTAGGTATTGTATTCATTGGGAAGGAAGGGGAGGTGTCTGGGCAAGGGCTGGGGCCGCTTGGCAAGACTGGGGTGAACCTGTGGGATTTGGGGTAGGGTCAGTCATGGACATCTTAAAATGAGTGGTTGTCTGGAGCAAGAATGCTAGAAAAGGATGGGGGCGAGTTACGCTCTCTGGTGCTGAGGGGAAACGAAATGTGGAAGGATTAGTAGAAACCAGACCTTTAAGATTTCTTTGTAATTTAAGATTTATAGGATCCCACTAGGCCAGCTTTTTTATTGTATTTGACATTCGCATTTCTGAGAGCAGAGGTCTTACTGAACAGGTGAAAATACTAAAACTGAGGAAATGGTAGTTGTGCTGTGTGTGTAACACTGAAGTACACATATTTGCAGAATAAAATTAATTTGGACATTTGTCAGATCTAGTTTAATTCTGCCTCTAGCAGAGGGCTTGCTGTTGCCCGGTTAAGTACCTCAATCCTTGATTTCCTGTGCTGTGTTGAAAAGAGCACTGGGCTTAGAATCAGAAAACCCTGCCTTGAGTCCTGACTCTTCCTTCCACTCATCATCTATTGACTGAGGCACGCCACTTATAATTCTGAATCTCAGGCTCCTCATTGCTAAAGTGGGGCTAATAATGTTTACTTAACAAGATTGTCCTGAGGATAAATACAGGGAAGCGTTTTGAAGCTCTAAAATTCTACATAAATGTAAAATGCGTTATTATTGGTATCATTGATTTTGGCACTAGTTTAATACATTAGTTAATGATATATTGTGTTTATCTTGACCCCGGAAGAGATCGAAAGAGTCAAGAGGACAGAGACTGTCTGATATTTCTTTTGTTTCTTCCTTTGCATTTGACATAAAGCTAAGCATGCAGGTGCTCAGTTATTCATTGATGAATAAAACGTGAAAGGCAATACATTTGAGGGTCATACTGAGAATAATGAATCAGAAAGAAGAGAAAGAGAGATCTCAAAATCAAACCTTTGCTGGACATATATACATACATATGTGTATATGTATATCTGTATCTACATCAATATCTATACATATATGTGCTCAGATAGGTGGATAGCCAGATACCCCTCAGGAATGGAATGCATCCTTTTTTTCTTTGGAGGAAGAAGCAATATTTCATTTTTCTTTTCCCAATTAAATTACTCTTTTATAAGATTATCTTTTAGGTAATAGAAGTGACATTTATTTAAATTAACAATCAAGTTATGAGCAAACATACTGGGAAAAGCTCCCCCAAGGGCTGTCTTAAGACAGCAAAGGAAAAATTTCTACCTGTTGTTAATATTTATTTTAAAAAGTCATATACCGAAGTATCAGATCTATTACCATGGTGAATGGCATTATATAACTTAGAATAAATATTTGTTTTAATATTTTTTCTCAGTTTCAATCTTTTGCTAACTTTAGTAAGAGCTAAACAATATACTTGTTTAAATGCTAAAGATGATTTTACTTTTTGCTCTTCTAAATCAAGATTTTCTTTGAAGAGAAAATTGAACATTAGAAGCACATTTGAGAGCAAATGGAAATAAGGATTCAAGAGCTAATACACCCCTTTTCTCTTGCAGTTCTATTCTTTTGTATTAGGGTTTATTTAGGAAATTTCTTTATTCTCCTTTTTTAGAACTGGGAAGGAACACCAGGGTAAAAATCACCTTAAGGGAATAGTGAGGGGGATTTTAAAAATCGAGTTGTTCAAAGGCATAGGTGTTTCAATTGCTTAGCATTTTGCTCTATATTTGAATGTGTTAAATATAATTACTTCTCAGCCATATAATGAATATTACATTTGAGATGTAATCATGTTAAAACTGTTCTTTTCCAATGCAGAGATTTTACTGTCTCACAGTGATAAGCACAGTAGGTACTCAACACCTTTTTCCGTCCAATTAATTAATAATCTGACAAGTTAATTTTGGAATCATAATTAGAGATCGAGTTTTTTATAAATGGACACATTAATTACCTCCCTACCTTCATTAGCTAATAGTTAAATCTTTTAAAGCTTTAGGGAAATTTGTGTGTGTGTGTGTGTGTGTGTGTGTGTGTGTGTGTGGAGAGAGAGAGAGAGGAAACCAGTCCTTAATAATCCTTTAAATAGAAAAGACACATTCTTCTACTTCTGTGCAAATTCTAAATTTTTAGTATTAGTCATGGCATTTGATTCATTTTAAGTAATGTTATTTTTCCTATTTTAATTTTTCAAATGAGTACTTATCCCTGAAATAAAGGTTCCTTATGGTTTTAAAACATTTTATTTATTGGGTTTGGTTCAAAAGTAAGACTGAATCTGAATTTTCTCAAGGTTAATGCTTCAGTGGTAGCTTGTACCTCTTTCTTATTTTGTGTGATGATGCCAAGAGTGAAGGATCTTTTTAGTTAGAAAGGATTTTAATAAATCTATCCTGTAATAGGTCTCTCTCTTCAGATGTTTTAAACCAAGTACTACTATGTCTTTCTTTTCCCCCAAACTTGTTGATAAATACTTAACAAACCAAGACTGAATTCTGTGCACTATGTTTTTATTATTTGAAATGAAAGTGAACTGTGCTAATCAGATATGTCAAAACATTATAAATAGAAAGTAAATAAATTTTGGTTCTGGTAATGATAATACCACTGTTCTCCAGCAACGTAATCACTACAATATAAAAAGTTTTTAGCATGTTACCCATGGATTGTGTTATGGTTTAATGCTTGTACTTAGTGTGCAAATTAACTGGTTCAGTGTTGAAACACCAATCTGCAAATCTTCAAGTTCTTTTCTTGGTGATTAATTTTAGCTTTACATAACTTTATGATTACACACTGAGGTAGGGTAGATAGGGTGAACTGCTTTACAGTAGGACCTTAAAATTAAAAAAAAAATCTGTACTCCTATCTCAGGAAAAGTTTAGTGCTAAATGAAAGAATAAACCTTGTTTGTTAAACATTGTGAATGGGACTCTTTTTCTGTTATTTATTTATTTTACATCCTTATGATAATATAAATGAAAGCTATGGATTTTAAAATATATTTATTCTATATTCTTTCCTATTACTAGGATCCCTTATTAATACTATTATTTTAAGGCTACATAATCATTGTAGTTGAGATAAGGATAATTTACATCTTTTCCAATGCTTATATTTGATTTCTTTTTCTTATCTTACTGCGTTAGCTAGACTCTCAAAAACAGTGCTGAAAAATTGGATGACAGTAGGCTTCTCTTCTTTGTTTCTATTTTAATGGAAATGTTGGCATTTCACCAGTTTTTACTTCCTATTTCTTTATGGTTTGTATGAACGACTTGCTGAAATTATCAAATGCTTTTTGGGGGAACCTAATAAAAATCTTACAGATTTTGATCTTTCTATTTATGAATGTAATAAATTAATTTGTATTTTTCTGCACTAAATCATTCCTACCTTTCTAGAATAAACTCTATTTGACTACTATTTTTAATTACTTGCTGGATTTGATTAGTTTATATTTTGTTTACATAATTTCAGAATCTGTATGTATAAGATTGGTCCGTAGTTTTCTTTCTCTGTTCTGCCTTTATCCAGTTTTGACATTAGGATTATTCTAACTTTGTAAGATGAACTGAGAAGATTTCTACTTTTTTTTCTATGCTCTGAAATAGTCTGAATAATAGAAAATTACCATATTGTTTTTTCTCTGAAAGTGGTAGAATGTGTTTGCAAAATTATGTGGGCTTGCTCAGATTTTTAGAGGTAGATCTTTGATCATCTTTATATTCTGTGGTTATTGACTTCTTTGGTTTTCTTTCTCTTTTTGAGTCAATTTTAGGGTATATGTTCTCTTAGTAAATCATGCATTTCATCTAGAATGCCAATTTATTGGCAAGAAGTTCTACAAAACATTTTCTTTCAATGTTTAAAATATCTTCCATGACCACAGACATATTGCTTTTCTTATTGCTGCTATTAACTATGTAAGCAAAATACTAAAATCAACATTTTTTTCCCCTCTCCCCCTAACCTGATTCTCACAAATTCTAATAATGCTTATTTACTTCCTATGGAAAGTAGCCATCTCAGACTTATAGTTTTGATAAAATTTGAAAGATCCAGCAATTCCTATCCCTTTCTGCTGTCTGTCCTTATTCTGTTACTATTTTATGAATAATAACAACCATTTAATGAGTGTTCATTGTGTTTCAGACACTTGGTGAATAATCTCTTCACTTCCATTATTTAATCTAAGGCCCAGGAATTATGTTCCCATATTATGGATGAGGAAACTTGAGGCTTAGAGAGGTCATGCAGTGCAGCCAGTGATGTAAGTGGCAGATGGGTTTGGGGATTAGACCTTTCGGATTCTGAAGCTTTCTGCTTTTAATTGCCACTCTCTACTTTCAGCAAGTCTCTTAATTCCCAGCTAAATTACTTACCTTTGTGCCATATAGAGCTGAGTATGTAGCTAAGGATATAGCTGAGTATCAAGGGTCTAAATAAAACAACACAAAAGCTTGAAATAAACCATAAATTATGAACTTAAAAAAGAACTGATTATTGTAATGATTTTTTAAGAAGATACTTGTTTTTCAGATATTCCTGTGAACTTTCCCTAACTTATCTCAGTATTTTGAGACCATAGAGCCTGTTACTTAATTCTAGTCTCCCATGAAAGAGGTCTTTTTTTTTTTTTTTTTGGTATATAGAGAAATCAGTTGGTGTCAATAATTCAACTGAAGTTTTTAAAAATTGTGGCAAAATATGCATAACATAAATTTTACCATCTTACTCATTTTCAAATGTACATTTAAGTAGTTGTAAGTGCATTACTGTTGTGCAGCTATCACCACCATCCTTCTCCAGACCTCTTTTTATCTTGCTAAACTGAGACTCTGTACCCATTAAATAATAGTTCTTCATTCCACTCTCTCCCCAGCTCCTAGCAACCACCATTTTACTTCTGAGTTGGTAAGTTTGACAACTCTAGGTACTGCATATAAATGGAATCATACGGTA